GGATTGTGAGGATGGTGCAGGACCAGGCAATGTTCTGTTGTATGCAGGGTCGCTGTGAGGTGAAACTGCCAACAATAACAACATATTAATGAAGAATACATTTTTGAATATAGATTTTATTTTTGAGTGTATTTCTACTATGCCCTTCAGTCTTCTCTTGTTGTTCCCACTTGCCTCTTCTCCTTTCTTGTGTCTATTTCCATCACTCAGTCTTCCCCTTTTCCTTCCCCTCAGGGTTTCCCTCTTTCTCCCCTCTATGTCTTCATCTCTCTGTGTCTTGTTACTATTATTAGCTGCCATTGAATCAGCCCCTGTTCTGGCTACCTAGTACTGCTCTGACAAAAATATACCACAAATGGGATGGTCTTAACAAACCGGAGTTGATTCTCTCGCACTTTGGAAGCTTTAAGTCCAAGTTTAAAGTGTTAGGCTCTAGGGGCTGTGTGAAAGCCCCTCAACCTTGGGCTTCAGCTTTGCCTCTTGCTCCTGGCCCACTGAAACTAGAAACATCACTTCACTCAGACAGCTACTGGCTACTGAGGCTAACAAGCCCAACCAAGGTCGACAAATAAAAAGGCACATTCCCGATGTTACCAAACCACCTGGCAGGCCATTAATTCAAGTCCATTGTAAGTCCCAAGGTCAGTAGCACATGGCAGGCTGCTGAACAATGACATGGCTACATGCAGGGTCCAAGTGTGCCATAAACTAGAGACCATTCCCAAAGCTGCTGCTTATATATGGGAAGCAGACCATATACCCAAAGCAGCTACTCAGCTGCTTGTGGTAGATCCTACCTTGGAGTTGATTGCCAGTCTCATTATGGGGAATAACTACCACCAGCTGCCCAGACACTCAACCAGGCCCAGCCAAGTTGACACAAAAGCATAACCCCCACAGCCCTTGACTCATGGTGACCCCAAGCACAATGGAATGAAATGCTACTCAGTTCTGTGCCATTCCCTTGGTCTGTTGTAGATCACACCATTGTGACCCATAGGCTGACTTCCAGAAGTAGAGCACCAGGGCTTTCTTTCTAGTCTGTTTTATTCTGGAAGCTCTGCTGAAACCTGTTCAGCATTGTAGAAACATGCAAACTTCCAATGCAGACAGTATCTAACCTGAGTCTCCTACATGGAAGGTGAGAATCCCCACTGCCTCCTTCTCTATTTCTTAATCTTCCCCACCTGCCCCATATTTTCTCCCTGCTGCTCTGCCCTTCAGTATCCTCTTCTTTCTGCACATCTAGTTCCTCTTCTCTCCTCTTCTTTGGTATCACCCATCTCTTACCCTTAGACCTCTCCTGACCCTCTGTCTCCTCCTCTCCATACACCTCAAAACTCACTGCCATTGAGTTGGATTTGACTCACAGCAACCCCTCTTTGGGTTTCTGAGGCAGTATCACTATGGAAGTAGATTGCCCAATCTTCCTTGTGAGGAGTGGCTGGTGGGTTTGAACCACCAGCCTTCTGGTTAGCAGTCAAGTGCCTTAGGCACTACACCACCGAGCTCCTATACACCTCCTAGTCTTCTCTTATTTTTGGCCCTCATTCTTGCTCTTTCTCATTCTCTCTATCTCAGTTTCATGCTCTCTACTGCTAAGTCTCCCTATAGTAGCAGTGAGCTGAGGGCATAGACAAATAGAACATTCTTTAATAAGCTGCCATAAAGAAAAGGGAAAACCAGTTACTATAACCTCACAACAATTTCAGAAAGTAGTTTTCAAAAACTTTATCCAGTATGAATTGTAAAACTTGCAAAAGTTTCAAAAGAAGCAAAACAACCACAAATCCACTGCCATTGAGGCAATTCTGACTGATAGCACCCCTGTAGGGCAGAGTAGAACTGCCCCCTAGGGTTTCTGAGGGTGTAAATCTTTATGGAGGCAGACTGCCTCATCTTTTCCCCACAGAGCAGCTGGTTGGTTCAAATTGCCAACGTTTTGGTTAGCAGCCAAATGTTTTAAACACTGCGCCACCAAAGATCCTCAAAAGAAGCCAATTTTTGGTAAATCAACAAACTTGGTAAAGTTGACAAATTATCATTCTGAGAATTGGCTTTAAGCTAATCAGTCTTAAGTCTTTAAAAAGAAACTTGAAGGAGCTTCTGAGTCTGTGAGGTTTCTTAGTCACAGTTACGGTCCCTATGGCAGCCTTCTCTTAAAAAAGGCTTGTTTTACTATTTATAGCAGAAAGCCTGGCTTCAGCTGGATTTCATGCAAGTTGCCGATCCTCGATTCTTTCCTAACGTGCTGGGCTGAGTTACCTTGGCACCACGGTCCACTGCTTTTCATAAATTCAAAACTAACTCAACCACACAGGCAGGAGTAGGAAGAGTGGTTGATATAGTGGAAAGGGAGCAGATTCCAGAGTTAGGTCTTAGAGTGATTCCTTAACCCTCTGTGCTTTAGTTTGTAAAAACAAGGAAATCCCCTTCATGAGGTTGTTGTGAAGGTTAAACTAGGTAACATGGGGTAAGGCACAAACCCTGCCACATAGTGTATCCTTAGTATGATTTTTTTAAAAAAAGTTGTGTGTGTGCTACACTGTGGCAGACACATAAACACTTAAAATAACACATGGACCCTATTCATTAAACTCTCACCATTTATACTTATTAATTATTTCTTTAAGTTCTTGTCTGACTCAAATCCAGGTCTTTTTGACCCCAGAGTCAGAGCTCATAATCACTTTTCTCTACTAATTTCCTCAATTATGTTCATCAATATAAGTAATAGGCACTTAGCAATTTCTCTGTGTGGAGAGATCTTGATTCTTTTTAAATGTTCTTGGGTCCTAAAGGATTCTGAGACAAAACACTCTAGGCAATTGTTTCTGACCCGGAAACAGACCATTTGCAGCTTCTAAAACCAAGAAAAACATCTCGCACTTTTGAGCAAGAAGAACTTTTGGGGATGCAAAACAGAATGAGAATGAAACCATATATGTCTCTCTCTCTCTCTCTCTCTCTCTCTCTCTCTCTGTGTGTATAGTCCTTTTCCAAAGACATTTACAAATGTGACTAGCAATTTAAGAGAAATTCTATATCCAATCTTGTAACAGTTGACAATATATTTGAATATATCTTCTCAGTCCATGAGACTCCAACAGGTAGAAATAAATAAATCACTTAACATTATAGCTTCAAACATCATATTTAGTTAGGTAAAAATACCTCATTTTAATAGATCACGCAAACGGGAACACAGGATACAAAATACCAGCTTGTACAGGCGCTCCCATTTGCTACACATATTACAATTTAAAATATAAAGCACAACCAGAGTACAACATAAACAACAAGTAAAATGTACTTTCTCATGCTTTTCTTAGCTTTTACTTCATAAGTATGAGTATAAAAGAACATGGCAACATTTTTACAAATGCAGCAGAACTCACATAAAAAGTAGTCATTGTCTGTGGGCACAGACTTACTCTATGTCAGGTATTCTTCCTCCTAATTTTCTTTTTTTGAGAATTGCCACTATTCTCAGGAATATTTGTGTGTGTATGTGTGTATTTAGGAGGGCAAATCTTTGCCTTTTGAAGAAAATGTGGTACCCAAAGGGTTATGCTTCTTTGCATAAGTAGCTGTGTGCTCTCAGGCAACTTATTTGACCTTGCTGTACCTTAGTTTTCGGAAGGAAGATTGGCCAATCTACTTCCATAGTGATACTGCCTCGGAAACCCAAGGAGGGGTCTCTATGAATCAGATCCCACTCAACAGTTGTGAGTTTGGTATTTTGGTTTGGTACCTTAATCAAACCTTGTTTGAATCCCATAACCACACCCTTCTGTTATGGTGTGCTTTGGAGCTTAAAAAGATAAACGTTGTTGTTGTTATGTGCCGTCGAGTCATACCTGACTCATAGCGACCCCTCCTTGGGTTTCCGAGGCAGTATCACTACAGAAGTAGGATTGCCCAAACTTCCTTCCGAGGAGTGGCTGGTGGGTTTGAACCGCCAGCCGTTTGGTTAGCAGGCAAGTGTCTTAGCCACTATGCTACCAGAGCTCCCAAAAAAGATAAACATGGTACCAGTTAAACCAGTTGCCATTGAGTTGACTAAAACTCATGGCAACCTCATGTATGTCAGAATAGAATTGCACTCCATAGGATTTTCAATGGCTGTTTTTTTGGAAGTATATCACCAGGCCTTCCTTCCAACGCACCTCGGGGTGGACTCAAACTACCAAACTTTGCTCGATAGCAAATGTATGAACCATTTGCACTATCTTATGTAGCCCTCAAGAAATAAGGCTTTCTTTCCTCTATTCCCTTTTTTTTAAAGTTTTGATTATAAAACCATTTTCTCTTTCTTTTTTGTTTTCTCTTTCTTTTGAGAGCAGCTTTTATCATTATATTTTTAAGAGCTAAAAGGAATTTGGAGTTGAAAATGAAGGATGTTCAAGCTGTATAATTTCCTACTCTAAGACATGCATGAGTGAGAAATACTAAGGCAGAATTTCCATGGTGGTTGAGACACTGGTTCTGGAGAAAGTTATAAAAGAGGCTCAGAAGAGAGAGGTTCTGAGATATGGCAGCTACAGATGGAAAGCTCTTCTACTCCTCAAGATGACTCTTTAAAGGGAACAGCATCTATCTGCATGTGTAAGTCTCTGCACAATCATCCAGCTCCATTCCAGGAAAGTGCAGGAGTTCTGGCTAATACTCCATTGAAATGCCACCAACATGTCCATTTAGTCACTAATTAATTCCAAGTAGTCTGAAGGTCCCACATTTCCCGAGGAGCAGGAAAGTCCTGTCCAAGTCTGATTCTCTTGGAAATACTCTGCTTTCTACTCAGAGTATAATCTCTCTGCTGTCTACCACCATGTGCTGTTTTTCCAATGAGGCATAAGTACTTTCCAAATGACCTAGCCTTTAGGGCTGTTGTTTTGACTCCAGAAAGCCCAGGTGCTTGGCAACACACAGGCCTTCATTACTCATTGCCTTCTAGGACACCATCAGCATCATTTTCTTGGAAACCCTCAGAACTTCCTTTAGGAGCGAATGTGCAGAATTTTCTTGAATGTCTTCTTGAAGTTCTCATTGCACAAAGGATAGATGAGGGGGTTCAGTGTGGAGTTGATATAGCCCAGCCAGATGGTGAACATGTGTACTTGCTCATTGAAGCAGCTCTTGCAGAAGGCAATGACCATGAAGTAGATGAAGTAGGGAATCCAGCAAAGGATGAAGGCTGCCATGATAAAACCCAATTGTCTGGCTGCCTTCCATTCACGATTCGCTTGCAACGAAAACATATACTGTCTTGAATGTGAGCGAAGTCTCTTCCATGTGAGTTTGATATAATCCAAGCCTGTGCTAGACCCACTTCTCAATTTGCCTTTCCCTGATGCTGGCTCAGTGGGGGTGTCTGAGTCCGTTCGGGAGAAGGACTGGCTGTCACCTAAGGTCTGGTTCTCTGATGTCTTGGTGGTCTCACATATGTTCAGGCTGTGCTCATCTATCTCAAGCTGGCTCTGGTTGATAGCTAAAAAACTATTGCTACTATCCTCCACTGCAGTCTGTGTCTGGACCATGTTAAGTGGGAAACAGTGGAGTTTGGCCACTTCTCCATCCTCCTCTTGGCTGAAGATAACTGGTGATTTCATCTCCTCTGGGTCTTGGGATGGTGACTTCAAGACAGGTCCACTACTGGCATCTTTTGGTTTCCTTTGCAGAACTCCCCAGGAAGAATCCTTTCCCAGTTTCTTGGCACCTAACTTGGTATTCTCTGGCCTCACCTTAATTTCTGAGAAAGAGGGGAGGAATCCGTTGGTGAGCTCCCGGTGCTGACAATGTTGCCGCACAGCCTTATAGATCCTGGCATAGAACCAGAGCATAAGCAAAGTAGGCAGGTAGAAGTTGATGATGGCAGTCATGATCTTGAACCATGTGACGTCATAGAAGTCTGTCTCACACTTGTCCTTCTGGAAGTTTGAGATTCCTGGCATAAAGTGATGCCAGCCTAGAATGGGGATAATCCACATGAAGGAGAGAAACCAGGCGCCCATGATGGTAGCTGATGCTCGGGTCTTGGTACGATATCTCAAGTACCTGAGAGGCTGCTGGACAGAGCGGTAGCGGTCGATGCACAAGATAAAAACGCTGAAAATGGATGCTGTGCTAGCTACATAGTCCATGGACAGCCAAAAGAGGCAGAGAGGTCGGCCCAGGGACCACTTGCGCATGATGAGGTAGAGGATATTTATGGGCATGACGACAGCTCCCACGATCAGGTCTGCTACTGAGAGGCTGATGATGTACAGGTTCCCCACAGTGTGGAGCTTCCGCTCACTTCGAATGGCATACAGAACCAGCAGGTTGAGACCTACCGTGACCAAGGAGATGGTGCTCAGGACTAATACCAGGGGTATCAGCTGGTGGCTGGGTATAGCAGTCTTGTTCCCATGACACATCTTGTCTTCTAAGATGCAGGAGGAATTGGGAAGGGTCATCAGCACAAGAATAGCCTCCAGCTATGGCTCACTTCCTGGGAGGAAAGACAGAAGGACTCAAGTCAGGAATTTGATGATTAGCAGTAGCATTATTTATCAAACTGGGGTTGTATGCTATGGGGGGTTGTGCACTGCTGGTTACCTACCCAACAGCATGTCCCCTTTTTCCTTGTTCTTTCATTCACTCACTCACTCACTCAATGATATCTGAATTCCTGGAACTGTTCTAGGTGTTAGGGGAAAAAAAAAAAAGACAAAAATCTCTGTCTTCATGGGGCTTGTATTCTAGTGAGGGAACTGGGTAAAAGACATGGCAAATAATCTGTACAAGTCTGATTTTGCACATGTTCTGGGAAAGCAGGATGAGTCATGATCAGTCTAAGCTAAAAATGGCAATCGAGTTCCTCTTTGTCGGGGACTGATCTAGGAGTAGGAGTCCTGGTGGTATAGTGTTTAAGCACTTGACTACTAACTGCAAGGTTGGTGTTTTGAACCCTCCAGTTGCTCTGTGATAGATGTGACAGTCTGCTTCTGTAAAGATTACAGCTTAGGAAACCCTATGAGGAGTTAATCAACTCAACGACAATAGGTTTGGTTTGTTTGATTTGGTCTAGGATTGGGCATGAACCACAACTGTGGCCAATGAAATAGATGAGGAGTCTGATGATGCAGGTGGGGTTCTTGGAAAAGTCTTCCTCTCTGAAGAAAAGGATAATTTTCTACTTGCTTCCTTCTACCTGCTGAGCAGTGAGAAGTCTGATAGTTTGGGCTATAACAGTCATTTTGGAGCAATGAAGGAAATGCCAAGAAGATCACTGAGATACCAATCCAGAACCTCGTTACCACTGAGCTGCAGAACCAACCCTAGGATCTTTTAAACATCTTTTTTCTTAAGTCACTTGTTAGTGGAGTTTTACATGCAGCTAAAAGCATCCCTAACTGACATGAGGCAAGTTACAAGAGGATGTACCAGAGGTTCACAAAACATAAACTAAATCTAGCATATGTCCCTAGAACATTGGTTTTCAAATGGGAAGCAGGCTATGTTATTTGAAAAACATGTTTGTTATTTTATATTTGAAAAACAAATTTTTTTTTTTTTCCATAATGCAAACTATGGGAGCTCTGGTGGTGTAGTGCCTAAGGCACTTGACTGCTAACCAGAAGGCTGGTAGTTCAAACCCACCAGCCACTCCTTGGAAGAAACATTGGGCAATCTACTTCCGTAGTGACACTGCCTCGGAAACCTAAGGAGGGGTCACTATGGTCGAATCCAACTCAACAGCAGTAATTTTGGTTTGGTTAACACAAATGATATAAAATAATGTGTAAGGAAATCTTCTTAGCTAGTTAGGCTATACATAAAACAGGTTTTATCCTCTGCTAATTGGTGATCCTCAACTGGGGTGTGTAATGAGTTGAATGATGGCCCCCAAAATTATATGTGCCCAAATCTTAGTCTCCAAAACCTGTGTTTGAATCTTGTTTGGAAAAAGGGTCATGCAGACGTAATTAACTTAAGGATCATGAGATGAGATCATCCAGGTGGACCCTAATTCCAAAAACAAGTATCTTTATAAGAGAAAGACAGAGGGAGCTTTGAGACAGAAGAGGAGAAGACACAGTTGACTATGCAGCTATAGGAGAAGACAATGTGAAGAAAAGGGCAGAGACTGGAGTGATGGGGCCACAAGCCAAGGAAGCTGTTCTGCTTACCTAGTGCCACTCTGACAAGAATATACCACAAATGGGATGGCTTTAACAAACAGGAGTTTGTTCTTACAATTTGGAGCCTTTAAGTCCAAGTTCAAAGTGCCAAGCTCTAGGGGCTGGGTATAAGCTCCTGAACCTTGGGGTCCAGCTCTGCCTCCTGCTTCTGGCCCACTGGAGCTAGAGGTGTTTCTTCACTCAGACAGCTGCTGGCTGCTGAGGCTGAGAAGCCCCAAGGTTGATAAGTAGAAAGGCACAGTCCCGATGTTACCAAACCACATGGCAGGCCACTAACTTAAGTCCATTGTAAGTCCCAAGGTCAGCAGAGTATGGCAGGCTGCTGAATAATGACATGGCTACATGCAGGGTCCAAGCGTGCCAAAGGCTAGAGACCATTTCCAAAGCTGCTGCTTATATACAGGAAGCAGACCACATACCCAAAGGCAGCTACTCAGCTGCTTGTGGTAGATTCCACCATGGAGTTGATTGCCAGTCTCATCATGCGGAATAACTACCACCAGCTGCCCAGCCACTCAAACCAAGCCCAGCCAAGTTGACATGCAAACATAACTACCACAGAAGCCATCAACCATCAGAACTAAATGAGGCATGAAACAGAATCTCCTCTATAGCCTCTGTAGGGAGAGAAGCCCTGCTGGCATCTTGATTTCAGATTTCTGGCCTCCAGAACTGTAAGAGAATACATTTCTGTTGAAAGCCATCCAGTTTGTGGTAATCTGGACATAGGCTAAAGGAAACTGATACAGGGTAGAAGGCAGAAGTAAGTATTAAAACTCTGGCAGAAGTTGCTATATTTTTATATTCATCAAAAGATGATATGAGTTTAAAGAAACACTGACAGAGTGGTAAATTTCTCTTGTTAGTTTGTTGTTATATGCCATTGAGTAGGACCTGACTTGTAATGACCTCTCCTTGGGTTTCTGAGGTGGTATCACTATGGAAGTAGATTGCCCAACCTTCCTTCCAAGGAGTGGCTGGTGGGTTTGAACTGCCAGCCTTCTGGTTAGCAGTCAAGTGCCTTAGGCACTATGCTACCAGAGCTTGTTTAGCAAAAACTAATTATTTTTACATGAAGACAAAGCCAGATAAATTCTAGAGTGGAAGATAAAATTCACATAATTTTTTAAAGATAAAAATTAATACCCCAGACTTCTGGCAAGATGGCAGAATAGGCAGACAACCTATAAAGACCCTCTTCAACAAAGAAAAGAGAAACCAATTGAAACAGATACAGAAGATAATCCTGGAGGCTTGAGGTTTGAAAGGAGGGATACAGAAGTGGATTAAACAGCAACTAGTAGATTGCTAATCAGAAGACTGCTGGTTCAAACCCACCAGCCACTCCTCACAAGGAAGACTAGGCAATCAACTTCCATAGAGATATCACCTTGGAAACCCAAGGAGGGGTTGCTATAAGTTGAATCGACTTGACAGCAGTGTTTTTTTTTTTTTTTTTCTTTTTTTCTTTTTTTTTTTTTAGTACAAGAACCTGAATGAAAACAGTAAGGAGACAAACTGAACTGTGAACTGTGAGTTATCCTGACAGCACAGACAGCCTGAAGTACAAGAACCTGAATGAAAACAGTAAGGAGACAAACTGAACTGTGAACTGTGAGTTATCCTGACAGCACAGACAGCCTGAATATTTCCAAGTGGTGTTAGAACCTGAGAATTAACCTAAAAATTGGCCCTGCTTGCCAAGGGCTACATAGATGACTGCATGGCTAATGACTGAAAAGGGAAACAGCAAAGAAGGAGACAAACTGAGCTGTGGACTTTTAGCTGTCTGGAGGGTGCAGCCATTTTGAATGTTTAAAAGCAGTGGCCATTTTTATATTTAAAGTGACAGCGTTCTCATTCAGATCCCAGGGACCTCAGAATAGACTCCACTTGCCAAGGACAGCATGGACATATGGGAGGCTGATGACTGGAAAGGAGACAGGGGGGAATGCATAAGTGCTGCCAACTAGTGAATGGAGGAGCACAGTACCCTGCTCAGTCAGATAACATCCAAACAAAGAAAATGAAAATGACTCCAACATAAATCACCAATTAAATATAAACACAAACACATCACAATGTCTCGGAGACAAAAGACCATCACAGTCCAACCAAAGAAACAAGATAAAGCAGTAGAAACATGGAACCAGGACATAGGCCCAGAACACATCCCTGAGGAAGAAACAGCACTGGAACTCCCTTTTAAGGAATTCAAAAGAATTATATTTAGGTACTTTCAACAGATTGTCGGAATGAAGAATGGGCAATCTACTTCCGTAAAGATATGGCCTCAGAAACCCAAGGAGGGGCTGCTATGAGTTGATTCAACTCGATGGCAGTGAGTTTGGTTTTTGGATTCCAACAGATTGAAAGACATATTGAGGAAAACACTGACAAAATTGAGGAAAACACAGAGAAAACCCTAGAACAATTTTGGAAGAAAATACAAGAACAAAATGAAAAATTAGAAATGATACAAAATCTACAGATAGAAATCCAGAAAATTAATACTAAATTTTCAAAAATTGATAACAATTTGAATGGGCAAAGAAGAAGAATTGAATCAATGGAAGACAGAATTAAGTGAGACTGAAGACAAATACCTCAATACTTCTTTGGAAAGGGATCATTCAGACAAAAGATCAAAAACAAAAACAAAAAAAAAAAAAAGAAGAAGAAAGTCTAAGGTTCATCATGTGGGATACCATCAAAAGGAATAACCTATGTATAATTGGAATTCCAGAACAGGAAGAGAAAAAGGAAACCACTGAGAGAATTGTCTAAGATTTGTTGGAAGAGAATTTCCTTGATATGATGAAAGATGAGAATATATCCATTCAAGAAGTGCAACAAACCCCAAACAGGGCAGACCCCAAAAGAAACTCACCAAGACATATCATCAAACTCACCAAAACCAAGGACAAAGAAAGAATCCTGAAAGCAGCATGGGAAATACAAAGTTACCTATAAAGAGCAACCAATAAGACTACACTCTGATTTCTCAGCAAAAACCATGCAAGTCAGAAGGCAATAGGATGGTATATATAAAAACCTGAAAGAAAAAAAATTCCAATCAAGATTTATATATCCAGCAAAACCGTCCCTCAAATATGATGGTGAAATTAGGACATTTCCAGATAAGCAGAAATTAAAGGAATTTGTTAAAACCAGACCAACCTTACAAGAGAACCTTAAGGAAGTTCTTTGGACAGAGAACCAACAACAGCAAACAACAACTGACCATTAACACACATAATGACATAACCCAG